ATATATCACCGACTTTATGAAGAAATACTGGATGATTTCCTATCTATATTCGTCACCATCATCACAGTGCTCATTTCTTCTTTTTCTTCTCTCCAAAAGTTTCTTGATTTTCTTGTATTCTGCGTTCAAGCTCTGAATGGCGGTCGTTAATTTCTAAACCTCCCACTTAGAAATTAACAGAGTGGACTCTGTTGTTTTCGCTAGACAGTCCACTAGTTCTTGGGTCCACGAGGAATTAGAAGAAGAGATTCGCTTGTTTCGATTTATTCTTCCTCGTTCATTGAGAAACTGTCTGCAAGCACTTTGACGCTAAAGTTTTAACCAGTTCAAGGTGATTCTCAATTCTTACTTTGTGTTCGATTCAAGATGGCTCGAGCCTAGGGTTTTGTTCTGTTCAAGGTGACTCGAGCCTGGGGTTTTGTTGGATTCAAGGTGACTCTCAAGAACCGGGTTTTGTTCAATTCAAGTTTGCATCATCCGGTACTTAGAGGAACAATGAGATTTCTGGAATTCTTTGTTGTAAAATTTGGAATTATTCTTGCGATATTTGAGCTTATGATGTCTGTATTTTGGATACTGTTTTTCTTATTGTAATTTGGAGATATTTCATTGTTCTTTTATCTGTTATCCTGGTTTAGCATGTTAAGATCTCTTCTAATTATCAAATACAAGAAAGAATTGTCACATTTTTAAAGATTAATATAAATAGAAGAAAAAAGTAAAAGAATCTTACCAAGAAACAGAAGAAAGAACGGCTTTAACTGAAAAAAAAAAAGAAAAATTTGCTAAAGAAAAGAAAGTGGAGTTTTTGCCAAAGAAAAGAAAAGAAAAGAATTTGACTAAAAAAATAAGAAGTAACGGTATTCATTATATTTACCTGAATTGCACTCAAGAAAAATATTAGTTTAACAATATTTCTAGAAGGGAGAAGATGGGCGTTTCTTCGACCAACAAGGAATCAAGGATGGAACTGACGGAGCCAATATCTACTGCGGGTCCAACTAAGCTTGATAGGACTAGAAATCATGAACTGGAAAAGGTCAGTCTCTCATACATGAGGATCATTTCATAGTTATTTTTGGTTCTGTGGAAAGATTTAGTATGAATATTAATGTGTTCCTGTTTATGTTTATGTTTGGTTCAGTGGAAAATATAGCATTATGTGGTAAACTCTGTATTGAATATGGATTGTAACAGAGAGTTATGATAAGATCTGGACTGAGGAACTATTGTGGGAAACAAGTCAAAGTTTGGAAGAGGAGAGGGTGGGAAGATGTTTGTAGAAAGTTTCTACAAGAAACAATTTGTAGAAAGTAAAAATCCTAGCGTAACACAATATATAAAATATGTTGTTTTAGAGGTACTTTAATATGAGTAAAATATGCTGGCTGAGGTGTGTATGGATATGGGGCGTGTAATGGGTAACCTGCAACAATGACCCTCTCTAATCTTGAATTCTCAGGTCCAAAAAATGATTTTTTAAACATCTAAGCTGTTTTATATGTTCAGTTTATGTATAATTTTCATGCAGCTCAATGTGTTCTATTTATATAATTTAATTTTACATGATCAGTTTCTGGAAAATGTGGGATTGTATGAAAGTGTGGAAGAGACTGCTAGAAGGGAGGAGGTCATGGGAAGGATGAACCAGGTTTGTTTTTTGGTTCATTTGTTGCATTCTTTAATCTTTTCTGTTTTTTATCATGTCTAATCTGTGAAATTGACCAGATTGTGAAGGATTGGGTGAAAGAGGTCTGTGTCAACAAGGGATTTAATGAGCAGCTGGTTGAGGAAGCTAATGTGAAGATTTTTACTTTTGGCTCTTACAGATTGGGAGTATGTTTGACCTTCGAATTCTGTTTATGCATTTGGTTTTGGTTTCAAAAATTTCTTACCTACTGAATTATGTTTTGCAACAGGTTCACGGTCCTGGGGCAGATATTGATATGCTATGCATAGGCCCCAGATACATCACTCGAAATGTAAGATATGAACATTCTTGTTCATAATTATCTGGATGAAATTAGCTGTATTAGCTAATAATATCTTATTTGCACTTTTTGCAGGAAGGTTTTTTTGGCAATCTATATGGGATTCTTGCAAAAATGCCTGAAGTAGAAGAATTGCACCCTGTGCCTGATGCTCATGTTCCTGTAATGAAGATTAAATTCAACGGCATTTCTATTGATCTCCTTTATGCAAAACTGGAGCTCTGGACTATTCCTGAAGTGAGTATTTGTTTATGCATTTATTGCTGTAGCAATTCCATAACAATATTTATATGAGATATGGGTGGGTAGGAGAAAGGTCTCTTGTTTTTATATTCGTAGACATTAAAATGTTATAATTTTCGTTGTTATAATTTTATCTTATTATTATATGAACTAATTAATTTTGTTTTATCAATTAATTTAAATAATAATTTTGGGAAATTTGTAACTTTAGTGTCTATGATGCTATTTTATGCGATTCATTTTTCTTCAAAGAATAAGGTGTTGCTAATTCTCTTATTGAATACACTATATTTGTGTTGATGTTTGAGAAATCTAAGTGCAAACTGAACCATCGCAGGTTGATAAAATAAAAGGTAACATGTGATAAAAGATAACACGCAAACTTTCATTTGGTTAGTGAATCCATATTTAGATGAGCTAACAAACTCTCTGAGCAATTTGATCAAAAATAGTTTTATTTTCATTTGACTGCTTTTGTGTTTTAGTGCTTCTCTAAAAAGTCCCTTGTTAACTTAGTTATGATTATCCTGTCTGGGGGTCATTTTACTTTTCTATTCTTCTGTTATCTAGTATAAATCAGTTGGTTTCTTTCATTATTTGACTTCTGCTGAATTTAAATACATGTTGTCTTTCCTAAAATTTTTACTAGTTCAGTAATTTAGATCATGAATCATTTTATACATTACTGTTACAGGACTTGGATATTTCTTATGATTCAATACTACAAAATGTGGATGAGCAGACAGTACGCAGCCTCAATGGATGCAGGGTCACTGACCAGATTTTGCGATTGGTTCCAAACATTCAGGTAGAGCTGTTGCAAAACAGGCATGGGTAGCATAAATAAATTTGTTATTTCCTGATATGCAATCAAGTTTTATAGGGTTTACTTGTTTGTCTTTTCTTGTTGTCTCATCCAGAATTTCCGTACTACCTTAAGATGTGTGAGGTTTTGGGCAAAGCAGCGTGGAATTTATTCTAATGTAAGGAAATTTAATCATATAGTTAAGAATTTAGCTTGTTCTTATTTTTCCCCTCTTTCGGGGTTTGTAGTTTGATGTTGCACTCACTTTTGTTAGTATCAATCAGGTCATAGGATTTCTTGGTGGAATAAATTGGGCATTGCTAGTTGCTCGTGTCTGCCAACTCTACCCAAATGCACTTCCCAGTGTTTTGATTTCCAAGTTCTTCAAAGTATTCTCACAATGGCGGTGGCCTAATCCAGTCATGTTGTGCCCTTTACAAGAAGGAAACCTGGCTCATAAAGTTTGGGATCCAAGAAGAAACCTCCAGGACAGGAAACATTTAATGCCGATAATAACTCCTGCATATCCATGCATGAACTCAAGTTACAATGTCTCATCAAGCACGTTTGGCATCATGCAAAAAGAATTTCAGAGGGGCAATGAAATTTTTGAGGTATGGTTTTTGTTGAATAGCATATTTTATTATTTAATTATTTTAATTTATTCTTTAATTAGTTAGTATTATATAATTAGAATTTTATAAAAATAAATATAATTAGAAGTTTAATAAAATAAGAATTTTTCTATCAGTAAATACAAATTTTATAAATACTATAAGTGTAACAATTTAAAAAGTAAGAAAAAAAATTGTTATTTTTTTTTCAAAATCAACAGTTTTCCTACGGTATTTTATAGTACTATGGAATCCTAGACTACACTGTTTTTGTTGTTTGTGATAGATGTGAGCCATTTGTTTTCATTTTTCTTCTGCTACTCAATATAATTTTAGATTTTTACCATTTTCTCCGCCCTTCAGTTCCATTTAGTTGTGATACTCTTCATGTCTGAACATATTGCTGTTTATAATTTATATCATTCAGTCTTTTAGCAAGACTTGTTAACCTTCAATCTGTACAATGATCATAGGCTCTGGCAGCAAAGGAAACTTGTTGGACTACTCTCTTTGAGCCTTTCCCTTTTTTTGAAGCATTCAAGAATTATCTGCAGATAAACATAACTGCCAGGAACCATGATGACTTAAAAATCTGGAAAGGCTGGGTTGAATCTCGGCTTCGTTTATTTATTCTAAAGGTGGAAATTTTCTCTTGCTTCTTTCTATTAGGCTGTTCTAACTTTCATATAATCTCCCACTTTTATGTATGATTTTTAATCTAGATTGAGAGGGACACATGTGGAACGCTTCAATGCCGTCCTCACCCGGGCAACTTCTCAGACAAATCAAGGTCATTCAACAGTTCTTACTTCATGGGCGTAAGGAGACAAGATACTTGTGTTCAGGAAGGTCAATATTTTGACTTAAGGTTAACCATTGAGGAATTTAAGCACTGCCTGCGAACGGTTACCTTATGGAAACCTGGAATGAGGATCACAATAAGTCACACAACACGCAGAAACGTCCCGGATTTTGTCTTCCCTGGTGGGGTGCAGCCTATAAATAAGACCAAAAAGGTTTATGGGCCTGCTAATAGGAAGAAGAGAAAGCGTGATGAAGGTAGTACCAGCTGTAATTTGAGAAAATCTGACTTTGCAACAAAAAGTAAAAATGCAAAATTGGTAGAAGAGGCTATAGCAAGAGGGGGATGTGAAGTTAATGGAAATGGCTCCTTGGATATTGATCATGGTGTTCCTGTAGAACATCTCGAAGTTGTTAGTTCTTCTGCTGAATGCCTGACCTCAATGAGTGCTTCATCTGGCTCATCTGAAGCGGAGAAGATTTTGCTTACTTGCCAGCAAGCTTCCTCTAAAGAAGTTGAGAAGGTAAACGATGATGCAGGATCAAGGATTCAAGTCCAGAATTTTGCTACAAGCTGTACAGTGGATTTGTCAGAGTCATTGACTAGAACACAAAAAAGAACTGCAGAGAAAGGAGCCAGCCTATGCTCTAATATTTTGAAGAACACAGAACCAGAGGAACTTGAGGTATCATCAACAAACTTTCTTACTGTTTTGACTTGAACACAACTAATATTCTGTTTAAATAATTTAACTCTTTAGCTACCTTTTGCTCAAAATTTTAGTTCTACCAAATAGGAATAAGAAGAAATTAGAAATAAGAAAAATTTTGGAAGAAGACCTCAATGTTCAATTCAAATTTGGAGAATTTATAGTTTCTATCCTAAATCAGTTTGAAAAACTACATAAATGAGTTACATTGTTGAATTGTAAAATTATATACGAATATGATGATCGAACTACATGTCATCTATCAGTTTAGAGTCAAATAAATGAGTCAGAAATCGTTGGTTTGTAAATTATATATGAAAATTACGATCAAACTGCATGTTAAATAATCAAGTTTTGCGGAATATAATAATAGAATGGGAATAAACAAAGATTGTCGAAATCAGATTTCATGAAAAACTTTAAGGCTACTGGATCTAATTGGTCCTTTTTTCTTTTTTGCTGGTTGGATACACAGTAAAACCATTTTGTTTAGACACTCAGTTTTCATTATATTATCTCGTGATTAATTACTATAGCTCCTCCCAAAATCCGTATATGATGACCCACATCTGACTTCGTTTTTCTCTTTTCTGTTGGGAAATAAAAACAGTCTACTCAACAACCGAAGTCTGCTGCATGCGTAACTGCAAAAAAGCCTGTCATCAGGTGATTTTTCATGCTTATATCGATCGAATTAGATTCAATTTTCTTGTAAATATAGATAGTTGCGACATTATTTACACATTATTACCTATGCAAATGACATTTCACTGCAAACTTTTCCTTTCAGGTTTAATTTCACTTCTTTGGTGAGAGCTGCTTGAAATGCATTTTCCTCCATCTGTTGGACTGACTGTACTAAGCTGAAATTAGGTTAGAGCTTAGGACTTAACAAAGAACCTTTTTTCCTCCTGTCGGGCAGTTATCATAACTCATGAATATGTAAAGAACGGTGTATATAATTTTTTGCCAATATGTAAAAAATTATATTTTCTTAATCTTTCGTGCAGAGGATATATATACTTGTGCAAATGCTTATTAGCGATAATTCTATTCCTATTTTTTCATAGCTAGTCGATGCTGTATATTCTTATTGAAGAAAAAAAATATTAGTTAGATAAATTTTGGAGAATCTATTATATTTAGAATGTGAAAACGTAATGCGTGATGTAAAAATATATTATTTAATTCGGTAACTTGTTTATTGAATAATTTAAATTTAATGAGACAACAAATTTATAAAATAAGTAATTTAAGTCGTGATTGTTTGAGATCCAAACATTTGAATTTTATTGTAGTCATGACTTGTTTTTATGGGATGAAAGAGGATTATCTGATCCAAATTTATAATATAATTAATTAAATATAATATTATATTTTATATTGAAAATATCTTTTACTATTTATATTAAAATATCAGACTAATTATGAAATTCCCTTGAACATGAAACATGAAAAATCTCATGGCTCCAAAAATCAATTCAAGTGGACGTATTAAACGAGACATAAAACGATGTCGTTCTTTTAAGATCGATTCAGATACGCATGTTAAAAAACAAGAGACAAAACGATGTCGTTTTCAGTCCCATCGCAACAAGTGAAAACCACTGCCGTTTTGGATCTGACAAATGGCGGCTCAGACACGGGTCGTATTTTAAACGCGGATTTGAAAAGTAGAGAGTTGGCGGCGAACGGTGTCGTATTAAAGACAGTTTCCTTGCATGTAGTGAAACGGAGCGCCAATAGTTAACAAGGAAATACCAGGTGATTTCCTATATATATTCGTCACCATCAACTCACCGCTCGTTTCTTCTCTTTTTTCTATTTCTTCTCTCCTAAGTTTCTTGATTTTCTTGTATTCTGGGTTCGAGCTCTGAACGGCGATCGTTAATTTCTAAGCCTTCCACTAAGAAATTAACAAGGTCGATTCTGTTGTTTTCGCGGTATAAGTCCACTAGTTCTTTCGTCCACGAGGAATAAGGAGAGGAGATTTGCTTGTTTCGGTTTATTCTTCCTGATTCATTGAGAAGCCGTCTGCAAGCACTTTGGCGCTAAAGTTTTAACCAGTTCAAGGTGATTCTCAATTCTTGCTTTATGTTCGATTCAAGGTGACTCGAGTCTAGGGTTTTGTTCCGTTCAAGGTGACTCTGGGGTTTTGTTGGATTCAAGGTGACTCTCAAGAACAGGGTTTTGTTCAATTCAAGTTTGCGTCGTGCGGTACATAGAGGAAGAACGAGATTTCTTGAATTCTTTGTTGTAAAATTTGGAATTATTCTTGCGATATTTGAGCTTTTGATGTCTGTATTTGGGATACTGTTTTTCTTATTGTAATTTGGAGATATTTCATTGTTCTTTTTATCTGTTATCCTGACTTAACATATTGAGATCTCTCCTGATTATCAAATACGAGAAAGAATTGTCACATTTTTAAAGATTAATATAAATAGAAGAAAAAAGTAAACGAATTTTACCAAGAAACGGAAGAAAGAACGGCTTTCGCTGAAAAAAAAGAAGAAATATTTACCAAAAAAAAGAAAGAAAAGGTTTTTCCAAAGAAAAGAAATTGACTAAAAAAATAAGAAATAACGGTATTCATTGTACTTACCTGAATTGCGCTGAAGAAAAATATTAGTTTAATAATATTTCTAGAAGGGAGAAGATGGGTGTTTCTTCGGCCACCAAGGAATCAAGGATGGGACTGACGGAGCCAATATCTACTGCGGGTCCAACTGAGCTCGATCGGACTAGAAATTATGAACTGGAAAAGGTCAGTCTCTCATACATGATGATCGTTTCATAGTTAATTTCGGTTCTGTGAAAGATTTAGTATGAATATTAAAGTGTTCCTGTCTATGTTTATGTTTGGTTCGGTAGAAAATATAGCATTATATGGTAAACTCTGTGTTGAATATGGATTGTAACAGACAGTTATGATAAGATCTGGATTGAGAAACTATGGTGGGAAACAGGTGGAAATTTGGAAGAGGAGAGGGTGGGAAGATGTTTGTAGAAAGTTTCTATAAAAAACAATTTGTAGAAAGTTAAAATCCTAGCATAACACAATATATAAAATACCCTGTTTTATAGAGGTACTTTAATATGAGTAAAATATGCTGGCTGAGATGTGTATGGATATGGGGCATGTAATGGGTAACCTGCAACAATGACCCTCTCTAATCTTGAATTCTCAGGTCCAAAAAATGATTTTTTAAACATCTAAGCTGTTTTATATGTTCAGTTTATGTATAATTTTCATGCAGCTAAATGTGTTCTATTTATATAATTTAATTTTACATGATCAGTTTCTGGAAAATGTGGGATCGTATGAAAGTGTGGAAGAGACTGCTAGAAGGGAGGAGGTCATGGGAAGGATGAACCAGGTTTGTTTTTTGGTTCATTTGTTGCATTCTTTAATCTTTTCTGTTTTTTTATCATGTCTAATCTGTGAAATTGACCAGATTGTGAAAGATTGGGTGAAAGAGATCTGCATCAACAAGGAATTTAATGAGCAGCTGGTTGAGGAAGCTAATGCGAAGATTTTTACCTTTGGCTCTTACCGATTGGGAGTATGTTTGAACTTCGAATTCTGCTTATGCATTTGGTTTTGTTTTCAAAAGCTTCTTACCTAATGAATTTATGTTTTGCAACAGGTTCATGGTCCTGGGGCAGATATTGATATGCTATGCATAGGGCCCAGATATGTCACTCGAAATGTAAGATATGAACATTTACGTTCATAATTATCTTGATGAAATTAGATGTGTTAGCTAATAATATCTTATTTGCATTTTTTGCAGGAAGATTTTTTTGGCAATCTATATGGGATTCTTGCAAAAATGCCTGAAGTAGAAGAATTGCACCCTGTGCCTGATGCTCATGTTCCTGTAATGAATATTAAGTTCAACGGCATTTCTATTGATCTCCTTTATGCAAAACTGGAGCTCTGGACTATTCCTGAAGTGAGTATTTGTTTATGCATTTATTGCTGTAGCAATTCCGTAACAATATTTATATGAGATATGGGTGGGTAGGAGAAAGGTCTCTTGTTTTATATTTGTAGACGTTAAAATTTTATAATTTTTATTGCTACATAATTTTATCTTATTATTATATGAACTAATTAAT